CAATTCCCTTCCTCTATCACAGATTATCAAATGCTCCAACGTCTCTACATACTCTCTGCATAACCTACATTTCCAGTCCTTTTCTCCTTTCTTTCCTGCCTTTCCTGATGCACAGGAAGTATTTAGTGTAATAACTGCTTGATATTTTTATATTTATTCGTAAGTAATAAGCATAGCATCGTGATACAAATACACCTGGCAATGTTTTCAATTTTTTACTGGTCCTCCTGGACATGTAGGTAATCAATTTTAAGTCTTAAATTCTGTGTCTTTCATCAACATTTTATATAAAATAGTATGTGATGCACTTTTGTAAAACCTTATCCAACATATTTGCAACCAATTTACGTTTTTTTTATTATTGTTTCTTGTTGATTTGCGTTCTGTAGGTTCTTCGAGAGAATTTCGTTTTATTTCATGTAAAATGAATTTATTATGTTGTTTACATTATTTTATAATATCATAATATTCTTGTGGTGTATACAGGAAATTCTTTTTTATATTATTTTTTTCTATTTTTTCTATGGAAATTGGACTTACACCACTTTTATAATGAATGGTTACGCAATTTCTTTTACCGGCCAATTTGAAATTGGATAAAGCATTGACATTTATAAAGAAATTAAATACTAACTATTTATAAATAGAAAATTTACACTAAATTTAGTATAAATTACGTGATATCTCATTTTTCTAAACAAATGGATTTACATAACTTTCAAAATAAACGGTATATCAGATATTTGTTTAAAAAATATGAAAGAAAAAGAAAAAGAAGTAGAAGTCTTAAAAAAAAAGTATCGAATCATATCATCAAAATCGTGTGATCTTTTGCGAACCATTGGAGAATAGTAGTTCGTAAAATAAAAATGTTAGAAGAAGTAGAAGAACAAGATATAGAGAGTGTGCGTGTGTATTTGTATGTGATAGATAGAGAGGAGAGAAAAGGTAAAGAAAGGGAAGGGATTTTCTCAAACCAGCAGACGAATCATTTCTTCTACTTTCATTTCATTTTATTGCAAATATAATATATATATGGACCGTTTATTTTGAAAGTGGTGCAAGTCCATTTTCTGTTGTTTTGAGAAAATTAAAGGTTTGCATATTGGTTCATTTAAAAATATTCATTAATTATATCAAGTTTGACAATGTTTCTATTAATTTATCGATATGTAATTTGATTATTGATTAATTTAACTAAAATAGTGTATATTTACAGGCTGCAAATGGACTTACACGACTTTCAAAATTAGTCAATTGTTCAAATCGTTTAATTTCAGTTTTGAAAAATTAAATATTACTTCAAATATATTTCATATTAATCCAATTTTGTTTATAAATAATAACAAGAAATAAAGTAGAAGTATTATTTTTTATTTTGAACGTTATTTATATTGATAAATTTAACATTATTAGTAGTATTTATTTATGTTCTTTATGTGGCAGTGTTTTTAAGTATTTATGATGCACAGGAGGTATATAGTGTAATAACTGCTTGATATTCTTATATTTTTCATAAGAAACATCGTGATACAAATGCACCAGGCGATTTTTTCAATTTTTGACTGGTCTTTCCGGACATGTAGGTAATCAATTTTAAGTCTTAAATTCTGTATCTTTCATCAACATTTTATATAAAATAGTATGGTGCACTTTGTCAAAACCTTATCCAACATATTTGCAACCAATTTATCTTTTCTTTGTTATTATTTCTTGTTATCTGTTTTTTGATTGCGTTCTGTAGGTTCTTCGTTGAAACGAAATTCTCTCGTTTCATATCATGTAAAATGAATTTACTATGTTGTTTACATTATTTTATAATATCATAATATTCTTGTGGTGTATACAGAAAATTCTTTTTTATATTATTTTTTTCTATTTTTTTCTATGGAAATTGGACTTACACCACTTTTATAATCAATGGTTACGTAATTTCTTTTACCGGCCAATTTGAAATTGGATAAAGCATTGACATTTTTTAAGAAATT